AGTGCCGTGGGGGCTGGGAGGGCTGAGAGTGCCGGAGGGAGGAGAGGGTGCCGTGGAGGGCTGAGGGAGGGCTGTGGAGGGAGGAGAGAGTGCCGTGGGAGGGCTGAGGAGGGCTGTGTGAGGAGAGAGTGCGGGGGGTGGAGTCAGGAGAGAGTGCCGGGGGCTGAGGAGGAGGGGAGAGGTGCTGGGGGGCTGAGGAGGGGAGGAGGGAGGAGAGAGTGCGGGGGCTGAGGAGGGAGTAGAGAGTGCCGGGGCGGGAGCAGGAGAGAGGCGGGGGGCTGAGGAGGAGGAGAGTGCGGGGGGCTGGAGGAGGGCTGAGGAGGGAGGAGAGAGGCGGGGGGGGCGGAGTAGGGAGAGAAGGGGGCTGAGGAGGGAGTAGAGAGCGGGGGGGCTGAGGAGGAGGAGAGTGTGGGGGGCTGAGGAGGGGGGAGGAGGAGGAGAGAAGGGGGAGGAGGAGGGAGAGAGGTGTGTGGGGGCTGAGGAGGAGAGAGAATGCGGGGGGTGGGTGAGAGGGGGGCTGAGGGGGGAGAGGGGGGGGGGAGGGAGGAGGGAGGGGGGGGGGAGGGGGGCTGGGGGTGAGGAGGGAGGAGAGTGCTGTGGGGGGCTGAGGAGGGAGGAGAGTGTGCCGGGGGGCTGAGGAGGGCCGAGGAGGGAGGAGAGAGTGCCGTGGGGGCTGAGGGAGGGAGTAGAGGTGCGTGGGGGCTGAGGAGGGCGAGGAGGGAGGAGAGAGTGCTGTGGGGGGCTGAGGAGGGGAGGAGGTGTGGGGGCTGAGGAGGGAGTAGAGAGTGCCGTGGGGGCTGAGGAGGGAGGAGGGAGGAGAGAGTGCCGTGGGGGCTTAGGAGGGAGTAGGGAGTGGTGGGGGGCTGAGGAGGGAGGAGAGAGTGCCGGGGGGCTGAGGAGGCTGAGGAGGGAGGAGAGGTGCTGGGGCGAGGGGAGAGTGTGCGGGGGGCTGAGGGGCTGAGGAGGGAGGAGAGAGTGCCGGGGGAGGGAGTAGAGAGTGCCGGGGGGGCTGAGGAGGGCCGAGAGGGAGGAGAGTGGTGGGGGGAGGGAGTAGAGTGTGCCGTGGGGGGCTTAGGAGGGCCGGAGGGTTAAAGAAGGAAGAGGACTGGCCAGGACGGAAGCTTTTAACCCATTGACCACCTACTGACTGTGTGTGTGTGTGTGTGTGTGTGTCTTGAACCATCAAAAAACAGACACGCCCATCACCTTGGGATCATAGGGCATTAATCCACCAGTACCACGCCTCGAATCCGTTACACACACACACACACAACCATAAACACACATACATATACACACACACACACACACACACACACACACACACAAACATACACAAGCACACACACAAACACACGTACACACAGTCCACATGGCTTAAAAGAAAGATCTCCCTCCAGTTCAATTCCTGTAGAAATGTACAAAATAAAAAACGCAGAAAAAATACGACACACACACACACACACACACCCTGGGGCGTTAAACCCCAGAATAAAACTATGGAATTTTTTACGAAAAAAAAATTTTATTCATCGATGGGCATCACTGGGGAGAAAATGTGTGTGTATGTGTGTGTGTGTGTGTGTGTGTGTGTGTGTGTGTGTAATAGCCTCGGGTGTAGTGGTAGGGACAAACACTCACGTAACTATTATGTCGTAAAGGCAGTTTTCTCTCTATTGTTCATCACTCTAAAAAAACTCATACACACAGACAAAAACCAAACAGACAAACAAAACAAAGACTCAGTTGTAATTACATTTGCTTTTTCTTTGTGTGTGTGTGTGTGTGTGTCCTCTCCCCCTCCCTCCCTCCACCCCCTTCCCCCCATGCTGTCTCCCTCCCCATTCTGTCCTCTCCTCCCCATCCCTTCTCCCACCCTCTCCTCCCCCCTCCCCCCACAGTGTGTATGCAGTGAGTGGCGGGGTGTACAGTATTGATTTTCTCCTGTCTGGTTGTCTGTCTGGTTGTCTGTCTGTTTGTCTGTCTGTTTGTTTGCAAGGGGAAGGAGCTGTAGGGAGGGATAATGGTGTGCTCCCTCTGTCCGTCCGTCCGTACTTCCTTCCGGGGGAGAGAGAGGGAGGGAGAGGGAGGGAGGGAGGGAGGGAGGGAGGGAATTTGTTTTAAAAAATCTTCGAGAATTGGGAGACAGAAAATGGTCTGTTGGATTTAATTTATTTCGTTCATTTTGGAAATATTATTAAGGAATTTATTTTTTATTGTTGGTCCATCTTTCTCAGTCTATTTCGTTCATCTGCATTTGAAATATAAGCTACTGTGCGAAACATTTAGAATCAAAGAATAATACAATAAGTGTTTCAAAATACTTCGTTCATTTCTAGTTAAAGAAAGACTTGTAAACCATTAAGAAAATAACATAGAATTTTACGTGCTTCTCAATATATTTCGTTCATCTCCAATAAAAAAAAAGGATGGACGAAACATTAAGAATCAAACACAATAATACAATACGCGTTTCAATATATTTCGCTCACATCCAGTTGAAAAAAAATCGTGCACATTTCCTTCGTTCATCTCGTCTATAATTTCAGTATAATTCTTGCCTCTGTACATCAATTATATCATTTAATCCTGGCAACAAAAATGGTGTGTATAATTTTGTAGAATTTTCAGCTACAATTATCTACACGAGACTTTCACAGTGGAATGTTGACCTAACCTGCAGGGTATTATTTAGTGCCTCTTGGTCTGTTTAACACGGGGCCCATCAACACGGGGCCCATCAACACGGGGCCCAGCAACACGGGGCCCATCAACACGGGGACCAATTAGAAGGTCGCCGCAACATTTCACAGCAACATTATTCTTGAGTAAATGTTATCAACAAGGAAGTGACTTTTACCTCAGTAGTACACGTCTGTCAGTCACTGTAACACTGGCTGGTGCACGTCTGTCAGTCACTGTAACACTGGCTGGTGCACGTCTGTCAGTCACTGTAACACTGGCTGGTGCACGTCTGTCAGTCACTGTAACACTGGCTGGTGCACGTCTGTCAGTCACTGTAACACTGGCTGGTGCACGTCTGCCGTCACTGTAACATCACTGGCTGGTGCACGTCTGTCAGTCACTGTAACACTGGCTGGTGCACGAAGTTCGTCAGTCATCAGTAACACTGGCTGGTGCACGCCTGTCAGTCACTGTAACACTGGCTGGTGCACGCTCGTCGTCACCGTAACACTGGCTGGTGCATGCCTGTCGTCACTGTAACACTGGCTGGTGCACGTCTGTACTGTGGTGTACTGAGGCAAGTAATTATTATTGATAGGGTTAATTCTACTCATTAACTTGATGTTTGCTTGCTTTGTGTGTGTGTGTGTGTGTGTGTGTGTGTGTACAATCAGATAACAGAATGGTGGGGGACGTATCGAGTGCTGATCACAGGCACTTAACATCACAGCATGTCTCCCACAAGGCCGCTCCTCTCCGCCTGCCACTCCACCCCACACTCGCCCACAACACCTGGGCCCACAACACCCGCCCACAACACACCCGTCCACAACAACACTGTCCACAACACCCGTCCACAACACCCGTCCACAACACCTGTCCAACACCTGGTCCACAACACCCACCCACACACCTGTCCACACACCCGCCCACAACACCCGCCCACAGCACCCGTCCACAACACCTGTCCAACATCTGCCCACAACACCTGTCCCACAACACCCGTCCACACACTCCACCCACACCACCCGTCCACCACACCCTGTCCACACAACACCCGCCCACAACACCCGTCCACACACCCGTCCACACACCCACCCACCCACACTACCATATCATCTACAGCACTGACAACACACACCTAAACTCTCACATTATATTAAGTAAAAAGTATTTCCCTCATGTTTTATAATTCTTGTAAATAAACTTAAGTGAAGGTATGTAGTTAAGGTAGAGCAGAGCCTCAGTGTCAACACCACCTACGTCTTCCCTGCAAGACTCTGCCACCACTTTGTCACGGAGATTCACCAATAGATTCTTAAGATTGCAGGATGTTGATCATTGCAAGGGTCGGTCTTATTTTATGGCAGTTATTTTGATATATGGCGGCAATTACTCGTAGTCAAGATGGCTGTTGGGGCAATTTAGGGGTGGTGTGTAAAGCTGTGTGTAATAATGATAAATAATAATAATTAACGGTTTATTGAAAAGGTTCAGCAGCCCGAAGGTTGAAAATATACTCTAGACAGAAATTACTTATTACATACAAAGACACGGGTTGGGTGGGTCGTTTAACAAAAGCTTTCCTTACTAAAAGGAGAAGAAACATGAATTGAAGATACAATTTATAGTAGTTTGCAGTTGATGGCCGGGGCTGGTCTCTTGCCATACTGTGTGAGGTTACGTAAGCCACGTGGTGCAGTAATTCATCCGTAGATGTTGACATGAAGGACCTCACGTGGTCATGGAGACACCAGGTGGTGTGGTGTTCACGTGGTGTAGTGACTCGTCCGTAGGTGTTTGTTGATATAAAGGACCTCACGTGGTCATGGGGACACCGTATGGTGTGGGTATGGTGTCACAGTACTTCACTCTGCTGGGTGATGTTATGTTATATCGTCGTCAGGTGTAAAGCCGACCCACTGTTGTTCCCAGAATGGTCTGATTAACACCGCCTGGTCAGAAGATGGTGGTCGGCTCCCAGGGGTGCTTATCTCACTGGTGGGTCACGGTTCTAGCAGGTACTATCTAGTGCTGAATTCACTGGCTTAAACTCTGATCTACAGTGATCCCACTTTCCGAAACAAAATTATCACTTTTGACGGGATTATGTTGATATCCCTGTGGTGAGGATGGGTCAAGGAGAGGGACTTGAGGAATGGGCCAGCACATTGGCCGGGGGCAGCTCCGCAGCAGGAACGTGTGCCCGATAGGTCTTGACCCTCCGGTGGTCAAGGATGTGTGTGTGTAATGTAATTAGTCTTTAACATCTACTCATGTAACATTTTTCTCTTTCTTCAACGGGACAACCCAAGAAAGGATCAGTACAGGTCACCTACAACCACCTGTGACCTCCTACAACCACCTGGAAGCACCTACAACCAGCTGGACTCGGCATCACCTGCCCAGACCAAATGAAGACGCACCTGCAGGTGACGGTTCTCTTCCTGCTCGTGGTGGTGGGGCGGGAGATCCTGGCGGCATCTCTACCAGGTGAGTCCTTAGAGTTATAGGGTCCAGTTGGTGGTGTCCTGTAGACCTTCTCTCGGCTCAGGAGGTTGGTATCCTGGTGCCCGGGTGTCCCGCAACTGCAACAGATCTCCAGAGCGCGACACTTCCCCGCCAGATGGCCGTACCTCTGGCATTTGTAACACCTTGTTGGTCTTCTTTCATACGGTCTTACTGGGATGTTCTCCCATCCCAGCAAAACGGAGCTTGGTAGCTTCTTGGGGTAACCAACCAATGCAGTTGCACTGGTCAGCTTCCGTACTATTGAGAGCTGGTCTCCGATCAGCTCGGCCAGTTCTTGTTTTTCAAGGTGTTCTATCTCGGTGTGGGAGATGACTTCCAACACCAAGTTGTCCTCTGTGCGAGCTTCCACTAGTATCTGGATCCCGTTAATTTCTGTTATGTTGGCTATTTGCTGGGCCTGCCCCCACTCCGCGAAGGTGACGATAAGGCCACCACTCACTCTGCGGACAACCCTTGTCACCCCCCCTGATTCCTGAGGAGTCAAAAAACTTCCTCAGGACAAGGAGGTTTAGTTGCTTGTGCGAAGGGCATTTGACTGGGTACAGTCTTACGACCTTCGCCTGGTCACAGGTCACCATCGTCAGGTTCACGTAGTACCTCGGGAGCAGAGAAGATCTTGCCTCGCCGAGGTGTAGTTCTCAGAGTGTGTGTGGTGTGACGGAGGGGAGGAAGTAATCACACGATTGGCTTCTCTTGGTCTTTGTGACACTCCCTTGACCATCCCGTCACACGTCACATCATTAACCTGAACCAACCTGAACCCACCTAACCCATCCCACCACACCCCACCCCACCCCACCCCATCCCACCCACCCACCCACCCACCCACCTCTGCGTTGGCATTGGACGTCAGTAAGTCATTAAGAACGGCTCATAACTTCATTAATTTAACAAGTATTTACGTTTATGGGTAGTTGGGTCAAAGGTTATGTATGAGGACACCCAAGTTAATTACCTTAATGAGCAGTGTTGCCAGATATGGCTACTGTCCTTTGTCACTTCTTTATGTTGGAAGTTTAGTGTTGTTTTTATTGATTGCTTAGTAATACTGTAATGTTTTACACACACACACACTCTCTCTCTCTCCCACATTTCCTCACACCGGAAGTCGATTATTAATCATAATTAATAAAGTCCGTCAATTATTCCTCGTCTAATTGTCGCTTTATTAATTATTATTTCTATTGTCATTCGTTTTATCTCATTATTTAACTTATTACCCACTTTGTCATTATTTGTTATTCTTTCATTATTTGCGTTTTATCAGCGCTTTCTTTCTTTTTTCTTTCTTTCTGCATCTCATAAGTTCAAAGAAAAATAATAAGCTTCGTTAGGTGTGTGTGTGTGTGTCTGTCTGTCTGTCTGTCTGTGTGTGTGTGTGTGTGTGTGTGTGTGTGTGTGTGTGTGTGTGTGTGTGTGTGTGTGTGTGTACGTACCTCCGCCTCACTTAATAAGTCTGTCTGTCTGTCTGTCTGTGTGTGTGTGTGTGTGTGTGTGTGTGTGTGTACGTACCTCCGCCTCACTCTTAATAAGTCTGTCTGGACCGACGTTTAATTAGCAGTTTGTTGAGATAATATTGTCTAGTAATTATCTCACTTTCTAATTATCTCAGTTATCAATTATCGAAGTCATTAATTACGAGTTATTTATTAATTACGAGTTATTTATTAATTACGAGTTATTTATTTATTATTAGTTATTAATTAATTACTAATTTATCAATTATTGTTTATTTATTAGTTACGAATTAATTATGAGTTACGTATTGATTATTATAAAGCATTTGAATTAGTTATCAATTATATGAGAGAGAGAGAGAGAGAGAGAGAGAGAGAGAGAGAGAGAGAGAGAGGCCATTAACACACTAAATATATACAACTTGTCGACATTAATTAGTGAAACTTGATCTATTGAAACCTTTGGTGACTCTCTCTCTCTCTCTCTCTCTCTCTCTCTCTCTCTCTCTCTCTCATGGTTATAACGTTGAAGCCATGTCATAACCTAATCTAATTTCCAACTATAATTGAGTCATTCATAGGCCACAAATACAGGTACAGATACAGGTCAGGTACAGGTCCTTTACAGGTGCTGATACTTATACACGTAAAGGTACAAATACGGCAAGATAGATAGATAGATAGATAGATAGATAGATAGATAGATAGACATGAACAGACTTATTTTAGCTTCACTAAAAATGACTTGACTTTTAGGCTTCTACAATTTTTTTTTTCAGTATAAAGAAAAATATTAAATATGATATTACAGAGAAATAATTTGACACTACAGTACTTACACTACAGTACTTACGCTACAGTACTTACGTTACAGTATTTACACTACAGTACTTACGCTACAGTACTTACGTTACAGTACTTACACTACAGTACTTACGCTACAGTACTTACGTTACAGTACTTACACTACAGTACTTACGCTACAGTACTTACGTTACAGTACTTACACTACAGTACTTACACTACAGTACTTACGCTACAGTACTCACACTTGTGTTGTTTAGAAGAGGATTTGACCTACTTATATGTAGGAACATTTATTAGTTTAGTATAGAGTACAGTACAGTACAGTATAGTGCTGTGCAGTACAGTACAGTGCAGTGCAGTACAGTGCAGTACAGTACAGTACAGTAGCTGAACGCATGAGTGGTCGTGGTAGGGGGTGGAGGAGGTGGTGTGTGTTAGAAGAGGAGGATGGTTGAGGTGAGGTGTTGAAGTGACGTGGTTAACTTCCGTAGAGGAAATTGAGTCAACGTGTGTGTGTGTTATCTCTCTCTCTCTCTCTCCACATCCACCGCCCACCACCCACATCCACCGCCCACATCCACCGCCCACATCCACCGCCCAGTCTAGTCCTGATCACATATTCAGGTGGTGTTCCCTTGATCAAGTCAGTCGCCTTAACCGTTACAGCTGCCGCCAGGTGGCTCGTGGGAGTGTTCTTGTGAAGCTTTGTGGAGCCTTGTGGAGCTTAGTGGAGCTTACCTTGTGGGAGCTTAGTGGAGCCTTGTGGAGCTTAGTGGAGCCTTGTGGAGCTACATGGAGCCTTGTGGAGCCTTATGGAACCTTATGGACCCTCTTTTAAAAACACTATAAATTTGAGATAACGAATCTGTTGGTTTGTATCTTCTTGTGTTAGGACTGTGGTGCAGGCCAGCGAACTAACCTAACCTAACCTAACCATACAGTTTTTATAATAAGTGAAACCCCGAATCTCTTTGGTAATTAAATCCAAACCCGTCATTCAGGCTTCGAATCCGGTCCAAAAGTCCTCAGTCCAGGAAGTCAGGGATTCAGAGTGGAAGCGAAGCCGATGGGTGGGTAGGGTGGGCGGGGTGGGTGGGGAGGAGGGGTGAGTCAGATCTTGGCTGGCTTCCTGCACAAACACATCGACCCGTGATACTTGAGACACTGGTTCGAATATTTATTTCCGTCAACTTATCCCCTCTGTAAACACTCGAGACTCGAACCTGAGATTTGACTGAACTGTCGGGGCTTCCTCTCCACTTTACCACGGCCCACTTGCCCCAAACATCCCACACTCCCTATACTTATATCCACACACCTATATTTCCGTATCCATACCCACACGCCTCCCACGCCCCCTTACCCATACCCACACGCCTCCCACGCCCTCTTACCCATACCCACACCGCCTCCCACGCCCCTACCCATACCCACACGCCTCCCACGCCCCCTACTCCATACCCACATGCCTCCCACGCCCCTACCCATACCCACATGCCTCCCACGCCCCTACTCCATACCCACACGCCTCCCACGCCCTCTTACCCATACCCACACGCCTCCCACGCCCCCTTACCCATACCCACACGCCTCCCACGCCCCTCTACCCGTACCCACACGCCTCCCACAATGAACTGACAATCAGAGAAAGTTTTATTTTTATATAAAAAATCGAGTCGATTTTTTTTATTAAAAATAAAAGTTTGGTTATTTATTCTTTTATATTTAAGAAAAAAAGACGCCAGCTTAATTTTCTATTCTATTAAGCTGAGTACACGAGAAAGCTGACGCGGGTTGAGCTTGAGAAGGAAAGAGAATGTCCCTCTTGGGTCATTAAGCTGTTGTCACACACAGTTGTTCCTTTAGTTATTATCATAGATAGTTTTACCCAATAATTAATCTCTCTCTCTCTCTCACTCTCTCTCTCTTTAACACAGGCAGCTAGGAAGAGTCGGAGAGAGAGAGAGAGAGAGAGAGAGAGAGAGAGAGAGAGAGAGAGGCAGGGAGAGTGGAGAAGAGAGGCAGGGAGAGTGAGAGAAAGAGAGGCAGGGAGAGTGAGAGAAAGAGAGGCAGGAGAGTGAGAGAAAGAGAGGCAGGAGAGTGAGAGAGGGCAGGAGAGTGAGAGAAAGAGGCAGGGAGAGTGAGAGAGAGGCAGGGGAGAGTGAGAGAGTAGAGAGGCAGAGAGAGAGAGAGAGAGAGAGAGAGAGGGCAGGGAATACTTCAGGTCGCGGTCTTTGTGAGAGGAACACTGGCCAGAGGCCCTGCTTCACTCTTATCTCCTGCTGGCGTATCGACCAAGACGGTACAGTGACGGTAGTGGTGATAGTGACGGGTACAGTGGTGGTACAGTGACGGTAGTGTTGGTACAGTGACGGTACAGTGGTGGTAGTACGGTAGTGGTGATAGTGACGGTACAGTGGTGGTACAGTGACGTATAGTGAAGGTAAGGTGATTGTCCAGCGTGGTACAGTGGAGGGTAATGAGACGGTACAGTGGGGGTAAATCTGGGTACAGTGGTACGGTGGGGGACAATGAGTACACTGGATTATGGGGTACAGTTAAGTACACTTAAGGTACAGCTAGGCACTGAGAGTATAGCAGGTACAGTTGGGGGACCTCCTCTCACACCTCCTCCTCCTCCTCCTCCTCCTACACCCTCTTTCTCCCACACCTCCTCCTCCTCCCACACCTCCTCCT